AGCACACACACTAGTGTAAACACTAAACAATCACATCTCTGTGTTTAAAACAGAACTGCAGGTTCGAGCAGCATGAGACTTCCATGCGTAACGCGCGCGGATACAACACAAAACTGCGCGTTTCGCCTGAATATATTAATTCAGTGAGCAGCAAATACGATCCGGTATGAGCACTGTAGAAGCGTAACCGATCAGGCCTGGATTAGCCCGGGTTCAGTGCTCACCCCGCGCTCTCCGCGTCGGGAAAAGACGCTGCGCTTTCTCCAGGAACCTGCGCGCTTTCTCCGGCTGCGCGTCCTCCAGCGCTCCGATCGCGATCTCGATGCATCGCTCCGCTTCATCCCGGTTCACCTCCATCGCTGAACTACTCAGAAGCGCCAGATGATTTAATAAACACACGGAGGGCGCACCATTGATCCGCGAATGTTGAATAACAGTTTCCTATGAGACGCAGAGGCGTGTGTTTCCTCCAGGTGGCGCTCGCTGGCCCACAAAGCGCAGCTCTCTATTGAAACCCATTCAAATCTCGCGAGGTGTTTTGTTTTGTTGCTGACATTCATGTGGTAATAAGTATACATATGTAAAACAATCCATACTTGACATCCCTGATAGCACGCGCAGGCCTACATCACGTCTGTTTGACATCTGCGAGACGTATTTCTTAGAGTGTTTGCTCATCTGCATTACATCTACAGGACGTTTCCTATCAGATGTCAAATAGACGTTTAGAAGATGTCTTTAAGATGTTTATGATTGAAAACTGACATCTTAAAGACGTCTGTCAGATGTTTGTACTCAGCAAATGCTTTCCAGATGAAGCGATGTTTAACAGACGCCTTGCAGACGTACCTGTGCTATCTGGGATACACTGAAATCTGCTTGCAATCGCTGTAAAATTGGAGTTCATCACACACGGCTGCGATTGGCTCATCCAATCAACGCGGAGAAATGTAACAGGTGCCACGTGACTATTATCCAGCAGCCGGATTATTGTTACACCTGATTAACGAAAATATTCAGTGTTTAAGACCTTTTTCACTCTTATGGGAAAATGTACTCTTTGGCTTTACTGACTATTCTGAGCAAGAGGAACACTACTTTTAATTGATTAATTTACTTTATTTCACATTCATAAGTGTACATTTACCAATAAGAAACCCAATTTGATGGTTTTGTTGACTGAAATATGTATATATATTGACAATATCAGAGACTCTTTGAATAAGAAAGCTGTAAAAACTTGTGAACTTTATAATATTTGTTTGATTTATATATATATATTTATTATATATATATATGTGTGTGTGTGTGTGTGTGTGTGTGT